CCAGCACTAAATGAAGCAAATCAGATCTGAAAATAATAACAGCATATGTCTAAATACCATATTTTAAGACATTTTTTAAAAATAAGTTACAAAGAAAGATAATGATCTAGAGACAACACCAATGAACCCCTTTTCATCTTGTTTTCAATTGGCACACGTTGAAGTAGAAAAGGTAAAATCTCATTCTTAAGTGACTTTGTATAAATTTCGTAGTTACCCACATTAAAGGGATTTCATCAGATACTGCAAAACATCACTTGAACCTATAAACAGCTAAATGTAACCATTTTGTTTCCTTAAATCAAGAACTTTTAATGGACTTTGGAACTATTTCTGTTAACTTAACATTGATCATGACTCAGTTCCAAATAGAAAATGTAATGAAAGACTGACCTCTTATTTAAGTAACAAATTATTCTACTTAGAATAAAACATGACAAATCAGCACACAAACTATAAGTTACAGTGTTCCAACATGTGTATATGTGTATTGTCAAACTATATCTGTATTATGTTTGCACAAATGAACTACTTTTATTACTTTTATCTCATAGAATTACCTCAGTGTTAAAGTTCACACACACACACACACAGGCATAATTATATGCTGCTGTAGATTGCTTTAAAAATTAGAATTGGTATCAGAGTTATCTAGTTAAAAAAAAAAAATTAGTAGGAGTTTCAAAATACCTATGCTACTTGAATTTCTGTCCCTGGGTTATTAAATGATATTGAAACAATTATGCCATGACTCCTGCTATATAAAAGCTATAATACTCTTTTATCTCATTATTATTTAAATGTTAAATGCTCTATTATAGAGGTAAATTGGGTTTAAAATAGAATGTTTCAAGCAGAAGAGAAAAAAATATAAGGTTAAACAGAGTGAGGAATCGGAGCTTCAATTTGTGATATGAAGCTTGCTAGGGCATGGATTACTCTTTTGATATACTCAGAAGGACCCTCTGGCATGCCCTGTAGAGAATAAATATACTGATCTGAAACAAAAATGTCAAACAGCTGCTAAGTGACAGAGGAAATGTGCATTGGATCACCAGACTGTCATAAATATTGCATTCTTAATCAGAAAGCATCTGTCTTTTCCTCTTTTACAATCTCTGCATTGTATTGAATCTGTACAGAATGCTTCTCCCAACAGGTGCAATGGTGTTTATAAATCTAAAACCTTATTTAAATGAAGCTTACAACTGGAGAAGTTTCAATTAACAGGGCACTATTTTATGAGAAGGAATCATTCTAATATTTGGCAAATCCATGGACTGCGATGCATTTGTAAAAGTTAATGATTGGAAAATTAGAGTATAGATACCAAGAAAAGGTAAAGATCAAAGGGACTTTAAGCAATTTTATGCAATACATTTGCATTCAGAGAAACTACAGGTAAAAGCCATTGGTGTCAAATGTGGAATAGCTTGAAATATTGGGGATAGATGTTTTAAAAAATATCATGTTTTATAGACGTGTCCATAAAAATTGGCCTCTATTGCACTAGTTTATTTTCCTACGGTTCAATTTTCCACCTATTATCATGATTCAGTTGTTGAAAATGAACATAATAGATCCATGATCAATCTTGCTGGACAAAATATATATAGATAAATAGTAATTTGAAGGTTTGCATTATAATCACTCAAATAAGTGTCAAATGGATAATTTCTTCAAAACCGTGGATATAATAATAAAAATAGTTCTTTTAGAAAATATCACTTTGAAAGTGGAAGCAGCTATAAAATTATTCACTTTAACTCTTTTACTAAAATGAGTGTGGAGATAAAGAGCTCAGTCCCTACAGGGACCACATAGATACTATAAGTGACACAAGTCTGGTGAGACATGTGACCCTTACTTGAGTATTCATCTCCTAATCTTTGATAGAAACAGGTGTTGAAGAAAATATTCTTCTTAACTGCACTGTTGGACAAACAACATGGCCGGCTAGTGAGCAGTGCCCATTTAGTTGACTGTTTCCGTGGAGAAAAAGTTTACAATATTTCAAGAAATTAAATTTTTCAATAATGTACAGGTCTGCCGGGCGCGGTGGCTCAAGCCTGTAATCCCAGCACTTTGGGAGGCCGAGATGGGCGGATCACGAGGTCAGGAGATCGAGACCATCCTGGCGAACACGGTGAAACCCCGTCTCTACTAACAATACAAAAAACTAGCCGGGCGAGGTGGCGGCGCCTGTAGTCCCAGCTACTAGGGAGGCTGAGGCAGGAGAATGGCGTGAACCCGGGAGGCGGAGCTTGCAGTGAGCTGAGATCCGGCCACTGCACTCCAGCCTGGGTGACAGAGCGAGACTCCGTCTCAAAAAAAAAAAAAAAAAAAAAATGTACAGGTCAAACAAAATATATTGATAGACTATCTCTTGCCCTTGGGCTTCCAATTTGCAATCTTTAGTACAATAGTTGAGAACATAGGCTTACTGTTAAACATATCTTAGATGAACATCTGTTTTGGCCATTTATTATCTTTATGACCTTGGATAAGCTACTAGCCTTTAAATTCCATTTCATTCTCAGCCTGAACACAGTTAATAATAAAAGCTAATTTATAGTGATGTTTTAAATAATAAATGATACAGGGGGTATAAAATACTTAGCATGGCAAGTACTCAATAAGTGGTAAATAAGCAATAAGTGGTAGATATTATGGGTTTGTTTTGTTGTTGTTTTTGTTGTTGTTGTTGTTTTTGTTGTTTTTGTTTTGAGATAGTGTCTCACTCTGTCACCCAGGCTGGAGTGCAGTGGTGTGATCTTGGCTCACTGCAACCTCTGCCTCCAGGACTCCAGCGATCCTCCCATCACAGCCCTCCTAACCCCCCAGTAGCTGGGACTATAGGCGCCTGCAAACACAGCCAGCTAATTTTTGTATTATTTTGTAGAAACAAGGTTTTACCGTGTTGCCCAGGTATTGAACTTCTGGGCTCAAGCAATCTGCCCGTCTCGGCTTTCTAAAGTGCTGGGACTACAGGCATGAACCATTGCACCTATCCTTATTTTGTTTTTAATAAGATAGAGATTTTTTTAAAAAAAGCAGAGGCCCAGAAACCAATGTAACTGGACCATTAACATGAAGGGATTTAAAATTTCCTCCTAATTTTAATTAATTTTAATTTAATTAGGCCTCTTAATTCCAAATCCACCAATCTATTTTCCATATATATTTGTAACTGCAACTTCATATAAAAGCTCTAATTTCCTTACCTGCTTTACTAATTGGCATAGGACAAATATTTTTTACATCATGGGGAAAACCTTTTTTTAATATTTAAAATTTCTCTTAATAGCTGTATACCAATATTGATTATAGGTTAACACAGAAAGCAAAGGTTACTCTGTTCCTCAGAGAGTTCATACAAAATTATTTCATCTCAAGTATTCACATTTTGTAAGGGACAAATCCATTTTAAAAATTCTTCCACTAAAGCAGTATCAACAAGGTCATTTGTTATAAAGCATAGGGGATTCTATTGTAATTACTTTTTTGGAGATAAATTATACAAATTATTTTGATAGTGTGAGTTAGATATTCTGGGTATAATTTGAAAAACTGATTGACTCCTTCAGACTAAGCCAGTACTGGTAGATAGACTTTAGCCTTAGGATAATACAGTTCTTCTTAGAACTTCACTGGTCCCTGTTTCAAAATCTTCTCCCTATTAACACCTCAGATCCTCCTGTTGATCCTCATCAAATTCCACCTCTTCAGCCTGATAAACTTGTTTTCCTCAACAATTAACAAACTCCTGCCTTCTATTGATGTGTTCATATCTAAAAAGTTTAGAAATTATCACATTCATATGTTGTACTTACAATCAGACAATAATAATTGCAATAATGGGGTCTTCTTATCTGCTCAAGCTTAGCTAAACCCTCTACATGCATAGTCTCATTTAATCCTCACCACAGCTCTATAGATTCCATAAATATACCAAAGTATTTCATTTGTAAAACCATTTTGAAAGATGTTAAATAATTTGTCTAGTAAGTGTCAGAGTCAGGGCTTCCGTCTCATTCCCAAGGCTATACTATTCTCCCTAAATTCTTGTCTTAAAACTAAACCAAGATGAATTAGACACATAATAAAGAAGAATTAAAATATTTTTTGTGTGGTTGCAGAGAAACATAAAGCCAAATATTACTCAACGCTGTTAATAATTAAGATGCTGCATATCTGAAGTTGAGCTAATACAAACCTAATTTACGCACCCCTTCTGAGGAACATTTATATTTGAAGAGCAAGGCAGGTTTTACTGTACTTTCCAGCCATTATTTTGTTAATGCAATAATTACCTCAAGCAAGCCACTCTAGAGGTTTTCAAATAGCTCCGAATAATGCATAAATGATTTGTAAATGAAGGTGAAATGTCCCAACAGGGTTAGATCCACAGAGAAACAGTTTCCTGAGACATAATTCTGAGAAAGATTAGAAGGACTGAAGTCCAAAAGATGGATGAACAGAGACTTAATTAAGGTGAATCATGCTTTTGTGATATTCTTTGGAAAAACATCCTTCCATCCTCACAAAAAAAGTGCTATCTTTTCTAAGCAGGCAAACTATTGACAAACTTTGGGTAGCTAATCCACAAGACTCATATTAACATACAGAACATGAAATGCATTTTCCTTTCGGCAAGGAGAGGAGAATCTATTGCACATGTCATCTGTTTCTGTGAATACTGAAGATTACAATTATGTTTTGATGTTAATCCAACTACTGCAAATTTCTTGTTGCAGAGCACCATGTGAAAATGTGAGTGACAGTATAAATCTTTTTAAATTGAATTCAACACTTTTCAAAAGAGCTGATGTTTTCAAATACTATTGCAAAGCCTCTGAAAAGCAAGAATAACTTTCTAAATGAAGCCTCTTTTCTATAGTGAACTATTTGATATGAAAATTGGATAGCCAGGATAAAACCAAATTCTGCAGGTCTGCTATATTGTGTGTGTGTGTTTTGCATTTTTTAGAAACAATCACCTCTAATGCTTTGATGTCCTCATAAGCAAACTGCACGATGGGAACTCCAAGATGGTTGATGAAATAATCAGCATCACCTTGTATCTGTATAGAACTGATATTGGTTTCTGGGCACTGAGCTCTTCTGGTACAGTTGAAATTATTTTTCTGAAAAACATAATTTAAATTGTTAACACATACTATGCTTCCCAGGTCATCCCTAAATAAGTACTACTCAAAACACGGTCCACAGATCAGCAGCATCAATGTCGCCCTGGAGATTGGTAAAAATGCAAATGCTTAGGCTCCACACTGTCCTACCTAATGGGTGGTAGAGCCCAGGAATCTGCATTGTAACTCTCCTCTTTGATTCTGACGCTCACTGAAGCATAACTAGCACTGGCCAGAATTCAAGCTTTGCTTGCTGTTGTTGCTTCAAAAGCATGTTTTATCATAGGTTTAATTTGAACTCTGATGACTCTGACAATATTTAAAAGAATGTTGAGTCTCTAAAAAGGTGTAGTATTTTGTTTTTTCATTAAGTTTTCCCACAAACTTAAATAATGCGTTGTAGGGTATAATTCTGTTCTTCTTAAAATGTTTATTTAAAACTAGAGAAGAGGCCAGGCGTGGTGGCTCACTTCTGTAATCCCAGCACTCTGGGAGGCTGAAGCAGGCGGGTCACCTGAGGTCAAGAGTTTGAGACCAGCCTGGCCAACATGGTGAAACCTCGTCTCTGCTAAAAATACAAAAAGTAGCCGGGTGTGGTGGCAGGTGCTTGTAATTCCAGCTATTCGGGAGGATGAGGCAGGAGACTTGTTTGAACCCAGGAGGCAGAGGTTGCAGTGAGCCGAGAGTGCACCATTGCACTCCAGGCTGGGCAACAAGAGCAAGGCTCTATCTCAATAAATAACAAATAAATAAATAAAAATAAAGATAAAAAACTAGAGAAGAAATTTTCTCCATTTCTTCCTGAAAGCATATTCCTAGATGTTTTAAGATTATAGGCTAACAACTACAGTGGATCATAGTGAACCACACAGCTAAGCGCAAAATCTGGGTAATATAAGATGATATAGGCTATTATTTCTTAAACTAAGAGTTGGCTGGCATGCAAAACAAATGACAGTAGGTTTACAAAAATAAAACAAACATCTAAAACAAACTAAAGGTCTTTTAATTAATATTAAAATGTATTTTTTAACACATTTCCCAAAAATCTGAGATGCAGTGGCCTCAACTATGAAACGTGGAAGACTACCAATCTCCAGGGCAGTTGTGAGAAAATGAGGCAATAAACATAAGAACAGCACATGTGGTAACAGGCACATAAAGTATGTACTCAATCCATGTTTGTCTTTGAGTCAAGACATCCATTCTTCAACCTCTCATGCTTCTTTGGCATGACGTAATTTCAAAAATACTTTCAAATATAATCTATATAAAATAAAACTGTAAAATAAGACTCAAGCTCTACAGGGGAGATAGATGTCCCTGTGGTTAACAGGGACGATTAAATTTAAAAACAGAAGCAAGTGGCCTTGCTAGAGTGAGAAAGAGCAGCCACGTGCATTCTAGGAAAAAGCAGCTCCACAAACATTTGCTTTACACCCTGAGTCAGAACAGTTCCTGTAACCAGACACAAGAGAAACGAGCTGGAAACCGCCCCTCACCAGCCCTTTGAAAGAAAAGTTTAACACAGAGTTCTCGTTTGGGGCATAGAAAACACCCAATCAAAAGTTTGACAGAGAGTTCTGGGGGCATAGAAAACACCCAATCAGTACTCAACTATTTTGACAAATCAGAACTAAACAAGTTTGAATCCCTTATTTGCATAAACAGGCCTGATTGAGAACTGAGCGGGTAGTTTTCCCTATTTAAGCTAGACCCTGCCTTTGTTCTTCAGAAAATACACCTTCACTTATACTAAAATCTGTGCCTCCCTAGTCTACAGATTGTTGTTTGAATAGTAAATAAAGCTCCCCACTTTTCCTTTGCAGATCATCTCGTCTTTTGCTAACATTTATCAAAAGACTGGAAAATATGTGGTGTAATATTAAGAAAATTAGTTATTCCAACTTTTTTCAACTACAGTGCTAGATGTTATAAACATACAATAGCGTTTCAATAACTAGTTTCTTTGAAGATCTAACGGAAAGATCTTTGCAACAAAATTAAACATCAATTAAAATGGAAAGCCAGTATGAACCTTTACAAGCAAGTCAGGGTTTCAGTTTACAGACAAGGCAGTGTTTCTGTTTAATGTGTTAACAACTATCTTGACTGATTAACCACTTTGGCAATAGAAAAATAATGTTTTTACCATACAGTCTAATCAGTAGCAACTTAATCCTTTTTATGGTGACCCCCACCCCTCACCACCGATTGGCTTCTTTCCAAAGCTGAATTTTTCGAAAAGGGGGTAATCCTTTTTCACTTCCTGACACATTCCTCTGGCTTAAGACTCCTGGGGTTTCATTGTAAGCTGGGACAGTATAGGGAGGGTCTTGAATTGTCCCAAATAAGAGCTAGTCTTAAGCACTAGATCATGAAAAACAAACTACTTTATATCATGTTATAAATCCCAAGCACCTCTGGAGGTATTTGTTTAGCTAGACTTTTGTCGTTGTTGTTGTTGTTGTTTGTTTTTAAGTTGAATTTGAATGCCTAGGGGAGGCAAGACATTGATTAACATCCATCACTAGTGCCTCACATTCAGCCTGCTCTACTCATTCAGGTTTACTGAATAGGGCCAGAGGCCTTTGAATTTGCAAAACCGAGATTGTTGCACCATTTTATGTCATTAAATGAGGATATGATAAGATCTGGTTTTTACTTTCTCCAGATGCCTGACTAATCAAAGTAAAAATCTTTTTAAATGACCTTTCTCTTTAATGAAGTAACATGTATGTCTTTTCAAGACAGCAAAAGCATCCTTATCAACATAAATGAAAATACAGTTTGGCTTCAACTTCATTTTAGATACGTTATTTCTTAACATCCACAAATGCTCAGCCACATCCCTTAGATGGAAATTTTTTTCTCACCAGAAAAATGGCACAGTCAAAAATTAACAATTTCAAATTCTACAATATATGCCTATTAAAATTATTTTTTTAAAAATAAACGTTGTATTTAAGTTTAACATTTGATATTTTCATTGTCACAGTTACATAAACATTTAGTTACATAATAGCTGCCCTCTGATAAAAGGTGTTAGTTTCTCACATACGCGTGTTTCCAAGATTGCACAAATGACCCCACTCCAATCAATCCCTGCAATTCTTATTTTTATTTTCAAGATGAAGTCTCACTATGTTGCCAAATGTTGCCCAGGCTGAGCTTGACCTTCTGCGTGTAAGCAATCCTACCTCAGCCTCCTGCACAGCTGGGACTACTGGGCCCAGCTACTGGTAACATTTGTTTACTCTAACAGTTACATAGAGCACAGCTCTGGTTTAGCCTCAGCCTGCTATTTTTGAAGCCACTGTGAGTTCTCTTCTAGTCTCTCTGTTCTTGCTATAGCTACTATTGTGTCTGGAATTGGTGGGTTCTTGGTCTCACTGACTTCAAGAATGAAACTGTGGGCCCTCCTGGTGAGTGTTACAGTTCTTAAACATGGTAGTCCGGAATGTGTTCCTTCTGGTGGGTTCGTGGTCTCGCTGACTTCAAGAGTGAAGGTGCAGACCCTCATGGTGAGTGTTACAACTCATAAAGGCCACTGTGGACCCAAAGAGTGAGCAGTGGCAAGATTTATTCTAAAGAGTTAAACAATAAACAAGGGGTCCCCAGCAGGTTGTCAGGGGCTGGCTCAGGCAGACTGCCTTTATTCCCTTATCTGGCCCCACCCACATCCTGCTGGTTGGTCCATTTTACAGAGAGCTGATTGGTCCATTTTACAGAGTGTTGATTGGTCCGTTTTGACAGAGTGCTGATTGGTGCATTTACTATCCCTGAGCTAGACACAGAGTGCTAGACAGAAAAGTCCTCTAAGTCCTCACTAGGTAGGCTAGATACAGAGTACTTATTGGTGTATTTACAAACCTTGAGCTAGACACAGGGTGCTGATTGGTGTATTTACAAACCCTGAGCTAGACACACAGTGCTGACTGGTGTATTGACAAACCCTGAGCTAGACACAGAGTGCTGACTAGTGCATTTACAATACCTGAGCTAGACACAGAGTGCTAGATGGAAAAGTTCTCCAAGTCCCCACTAGGTTAGCTAGATACAGAGTACCGATTGGTGTATTTACAAACCTTGAGCTAGTCACAGAGTACTGATTGGTGTGTTTACAATCCCTTAGCTGGACATAAACGTTCTCCAAGTTCCTACTAGACTCGGGCCCAGCTGGCTGCACCTAGTGGATCCCACATCAGGGCTGCAGGCCAAGTTGCCCACCAGTCCCGCACCCTGTGCCTGCACTCCTCAACCCTTGGATGGCTGATGGGATTGGGCACCACAACGCAGGGGGAGGCACTCGTCGGGGAGGCTGGGGCCACGGAGGTACCCACGGCAGAGTGGAGGGGCTCAGACATGGCGGGCTGCAGGTCCCGAGCTCTGTCCCACAGGGAGGCAGCTGAGGCCCGGCGAGAACTCGAGAGCAGTGCATGAGGGCCGGCAGTGCTGGAGGACCCAGCGCAACCTCGGCAGCTGCTGGCCTGGGTGCTAAGCCCCTCACTGCCCTGGGCCAGCAGTGCCGGCCTGCTGCTCCAAGTGGGGGCCTGAGGACCCCGCGCCCGTGCCCATTGGAACTCACACTGGCCTGTGAGTGCCGTGCATGGCCCCGGTTCCCCCCTGCGCCTCTCCCTCAACACATCCTAGCAAGTAGAGGGAGCCAACTCCAGACTCGGCCAGCCCAGTAAGTGGCTCCCACAGTACAGTGGCAGGCTGAAGGGCTCCTCAAGCACTGCCAGAGCGGATGCCCAGGTGGAGGAGGCACCGAGAGTGAGGGCTGCCAGCACACTGTCATCTCTCACTATTGATAAGTGACAAAGTGCTAGCAGCCCTCACTCTCGGGGCCTCCTCGGCCTCAGTGTCCACTCTGGCCACGCTTGAGGGGTCCTTCCATCTGCCACAGCACCATGGAAGTCCCTCTCTGGGATGACTGGGACCGGAGCCGCCTCCTTGTGCTTGTGGGGAGGTGTGGAGGGAGAGGCGCCAGTGGG